TGGCCAGAGTGCACTGTTCCTTTGTGGGGACTCCACCACACACGTATTTATTCTTTCTGTAATGTGCCATTGCCTACCCTCTGGAAGTCCAAAGGGCCACAGTCGCCCTCTTGCCAGTGCAGGTAAGGGTAGGGAGGGGCAGACAGCAGCCATCCAACATGGCCACAGTATCATACAGACCAGGCAGGCCTGCCACTGACCTCTATGGCCTTGCCCCCCTGGGTCTCCCACACTGACTGTGTTTCAAACCAGGCTGCCCACCTCATTTCACTGCCCCAACTCCTAAGTCTAACCCTGCTTTGCTTCTTATCTCATCAATTCAGAAAAAAATTGGCTAATGCAGATTGAAGAGTATTTATCACAGAACCCCAAGTCCATGGTTTCTCAGAAGTTCTGCCAAGGTATTTGTTGTAGCCACTGTGTCACTGGGACAAAATACCTGACACCCATAATTTAGAGGAGGAGAGGTTTACTTTGCCTCATGGTCACAGTCCATGGTTGGCTGGGTCCAAATCGGTAATGGCATGGGAATGAGGTAGAGCAGAGGAAAGCTGCTTACATCATGGTGGCCAGGATGCAGAGAGAAGGGAGGAGCCAGGGAGAAGCCGGGTCAGCCCCCACCTCCTCTAAACCCATCAGTGGACCAGTCCTCCCACTGAGCGCAGCACCTTCACGATCCATCACCTTCCAAACACACGAGGCTTTCAGAGGATATTTCAGATCCAAACCATAATACCATCACTCAAATTTAACTCTGAAACCTACTTTAAAATATTTTAAAGACATTTATAATAGGTTACTTTTGGGAAGAATATTGACTGGAGGGATGGCATGAAAGAACTTCTGAAGGGCAGATACTACTATCAATCTGCACAGTAATTTCAAGAAAAGAGGCATGTGATCGCATAACATGGTGAATGTGCTGAATGCCACTGAACTATACACTTCAAAATGGTTGATGGCAAATTGTTGTTTTATGTGTTAGCTTTCCACTACTGTATTAAAGTGTTTGAAATAATCAAGATATAAAAAAGAAAGGTTTACTTTGGCTCTCAGTTGTGGAGGTTTCCATTGGTTGATGCCATTGCTTTTGGGCCTGTGAGTGGTAACACAACGTGGTGGGACAACAGAAGCTGCTCACTTGTCATGGGCAGGAAAGAGGGGAGGGAGAGAAAATGAGCGAGCTAGCAGAAGAAAACAGGTCCCACAACCCTCTCTGAGGGAATGCCTCTAAATGGCCACACCCTCCCACCAGGCCCCGCCTCTTAAAGGTTCCACCAATTTCCAATAGCATCAAGCTGGGTGCCAAGCCTTTCACACATTGGCCGTTGTGAGCATTCCAGATCCAGATCATAGCAGCACAGAGTATTTTACAGCTATATAAAAGACACAGATTAAAATGGAAGTCAAGATATTGTTCTAAAACCATTTCAATTAATATAAGATAAGCCAAAAATCAAAGAGTGTAGGTATAAATTAAAAATCCATCGCTAGGGATTTAGCTCAGTGGTTCCACTGCCTGCCTCACAAGTGCAAGGTCCCAAGTTCGATCCCCGGCACCAAAAAAAAAAAATCCATCAAGATTTGTGCTTTTTACTGTACGTGAGTTATGGCCTAATAAATACAAAAAACATGTGGTTATGACCCACTTATATAACACTGGAAACCTCAAGATTTCCTAGTGACCTCAAGTACTAGATGTCTCATTTTCTGCAGAACTCAGGACACAGCTGGATCCTGAGCTCCTGAGGCAGCTGTTCAAATCTCTTCACACTGGCAAGCACATATCTCCGTGATTCAGATTATTTTTCCATTCTGTACAATCAAAACAAAATGCAAAAATAAACTGGATGTTGGGACAAGAAAATTACAGAAATGGAATACAGACCAATGGTTGCCAGGGACTGGGGAAAGTGGGAGAGGGAGAGGGGGCCTCTTAAGGCCAGCCCAGGTGAGTTTCTTAGAGATGATGAAGCCATTCTGGTCTGATTGTCAGGGTGAAAGGACAAATCTACACATGTGATCCAATGCCACGAAACTACAGCTATCGCTCTGTATCTGGTAAGGGTTGGCTCCAGAACCTTCAGATACCAAAATCCTTACATAAAACAGTGAGGTATTTACACATGACCTATGCACGTCTTCCTCTTCTCTAGATTATTCATACCTAATATAGTGGAAATCCTGTGGAAATAGTTATATTGTTTAATTCTGGGGAAAAACACAAGAGTCTGTATATGTAGAATACAGATGTCATTTCTGTTCCTAAGCATTTTCAGTCCACAGTGGGTTGAATCTGTGATGAGGAGCCTGTGGATACCCAGGGTTGACTGTATACATAAAAGCACAATAAAAACAAGTGATACTGGAGTAAGATCTATAGTTCACTGTCTTGGGCCCACTGACTCCCTGGTTCTGATAATGCACAGGAGTTATGTAAGATATTACCACCAGAGCAAGCTGGGTGATAGGAGTGAGAGCTCTCTATTATTTTGGCAACTTTTTGTGTTTCTATAATTATTTCCAAATTTAAGAAATCGTAAGTACAGAAATAAATTAGATGTTGAGTCTGGTATGTGACAGTTCTCAAATTTGTATGAGTATCACCTCATTGTTCTTCCTGACTTGACAACATGTATAATTATGACACATTAAAATGTTTACTAATAAAACACTACATAAGATCAACTGAGTTCATGAAAGAATTCAGTTCCTTTGTAAAAGCTGAAAATGGTGATTTAGAAATATTAGAAAAAGGACAGAGTAGGAAGCAGCAGATTGCTGGTTTGGCCCTCAGCTCACCAGCCATCACATAAAGAACAAAGAATGATTACAAATGGCCCCTGCCATCAAAAAGCATTTTTGCTCAGGAAATGAGACATATGCTGTGAGGTCACAGAAAAGCATGAGATGCCCCCGGTAACATATGGCTGAGTGTCAAATGAATAGTGCTATGGACTGAATTGTGCTCCCCCAGCCCAGCAAATTCAATGTGACTGTATTTAGAGATAGGGCTTTGAAATATCTAAGGTGCAAATGCTGCGGACCAGGTGTCCGCCTGCAAGCCAAGGACAGAGGCCTCACCAGAAATCAAACCTGCAGACCTGGTCCATGGACCTCTGGCTCTAGTACTGTGAGGTGATACATTTCTGTCGTTTGAACCATGCTGTCTGTTTGTTATAATATCTGAGAAAACTAATCATAGTAATATGGTGATCTGTTTTAGAAGAGGGAAAAATGCTTGACTGTAACTAGCTTCCTCCTCTTGCACAGGGGACCCAGAGTACCTAGTCAAAATCAACGGCAGAGTGCTATCCAAAGAGGAATCTTTCAAAGGAAACAAAAGCCAGCTATTAACTACAGGAAAGAAAATGATGTGCTTAGATGCCTGCTGTTTGGACCCTGGAGTTCCTTCATCTGTGTTCATTCATTCACTCCCTCCTTTGATCAACCAACCGACAATGGTGAGTGACAGAGCCTCTCACATCCTGAAGCAGTTAGAGACCAGAGCTCAGCTCTGTATAGCATAGTCTTTGAGGTGGGCAGGAAGCAAGGCAAGGGCTATATGAGGACCACTCCCTTCCCCGGCCATCAGAACCAGCTAACCAGCAGGAGCAGGGAACAGAAATGCCTCCAGGAAGAGCTATTGTGGCCACCAAAGCTGAACCCGGAAGGAGAAGCCACAGAGAAGGAACAGGCCTTTCCAGAGAGAGCACGTGCCTGGGTAGCTCAGGAGGTGAACAGAGAGCAGCATACTCACATCTTCTAGAGCCCCAGCCAGACCTGGGCCTGTGCCAGCTATCCTGGAGCAAAGTATGTCTTATATTGTCACTGTCTAGTAATTCCATTATGGAGACAGCCCCAAATAACAACGCACAGAGTCATCAGCTGGGATCTGACACTTTGCTCTCTGATCTGTTTAGAGGACTGATGAAGTGAAGAAATAAAAAATAAAAATAAAGAAAAAAATCATTTAATGAAATCTAACATGTGAAACAAGTTTTAGCTATCTTTACAGTAGATTTCTGAAAGGCCTTTTAAGTCACTGAATCCAAAGTGACCATTTCATTAAGAAACCAAAAGTGGAGGTTTACCCAGGGTCACTCAGCTCGGGCCTGGCAGAAGCAGAGCAAAGGCTTGGGGGTACCCACAGCTGAGACTCCATGAGCAGCACAGGTTGTTGATGCTTCAGTTTCACAATATGACATATCTTTCAATCTTCTACTGTTTTCCTGCAATTTTATTACAATTCAAAGGACATGAGGCTCACAATTTTGCTTTTACCAATATATATTCAGACCTCCTCATTGGTAAAGGTTTGTGGTAAGACAGACAAAACTGGAAATACTCTCGGTGCTTCCTCTATTAAGCTAACACTCTAGTCCTATACCTGGAGAATGGTTTCCATTTGACACCGGATATCACTGAGAATAGGACAGAAAGGAAAATGTCAAGAAAGGGGACAGGTGGGGAGGAGGGAAAGGAAGGGCAGCAGCACCACATGCTTTTCCAGCACTGCGTATCGGTGTCAGTACAGTCTGGCTAGAGGGTAAGTTAGCCTGACTCCATGGTTGGTACAAAGAGGGAATTACAGCTAAGTGGTCACACTTCACTCTGAAGGTACTCAGTAAAGTCCACCACATGCACGAGTGGAAGCCACTAAGTTTCCGTCTATGACAACAACTATGTAACCCAGCAAACCACCTTTCTTGTCTGGATGACAAGACTCTTAGAGCCAAATGTGTCCCCAACTCCAGGCACCATGGGACATCCCAGTGGCTGCTTCCCCTTTAATTCTTCATATTTTCCTTCCTAACCTTTCATCTAGAGGTTAAGCAACTTCAAAATTTTTCATGTAAAATAGAGTCAGTTAATTTATAGGAAAAGAGGCAACAAGTTCAGAAAATACTGAACTTGTCTGGGGAAAGCTTGAGACTGGAAGTGTTGTCAGGAAGTCTCAGGATGTCAGCCTCTTGGATCATTATAAACTCTAAACTTACCAACAGTGTCACATGGCTCATCTTTGTGAACGCAGAAATCTGTCCTAAAAAAAAAAACAAGATGCAGTCAGGTGTATGTGGTACCCTGTAAGAATAGAAGAAAACACCATAATTAGCCATGATTACTGTCCTGTGGTGCTATTGCTTTAGTTGTCACAGATCAGTGATGTATCCCACTAGCTGTGTTTGCCAAGAGTAACCTGTCCACATTTGCAAGGGGTAAGCCCACGTTATGTCTTGTATCTAGATGTCCCCCTCAAAGGCTCATGCGCTCATAGGTGGGGCTTTTGAGAGGTGACTGGATCATGGTGCGTGATACTGGCTGAGCCCAGTGACTGGTCTGGCACATCTCTGGGTGTGAGTAACGAATTTATTGCAGAAGGAAGACCTACCCTTGGTGTGGATGCCACCATCCAATTGGCTTGTAACCTGGATGAACTAAAAAGGGAAAGAAAGGAAGTTGCTTCCTCCTCCTGCCACACCATGAGCTGCTTCTCCTCTGCCAAGCCACCCTGCCTTCGGGCCAGCCAACTATGGAGCTCTACCAACTGTGAGCAAAAATATGTAAACGTATCCTCCTTTAACTTGCGGGTTACATGTATTTTTTTCCCAGCAATGAGACAGTACTAGACAGCCCAGTTATCCACAGAAAGGCCTCCTTTTCTAGCTGAGCTATTCCATACAGAACAGTTACTGAAAAGTCTCCTTCCAACAACTGAAAAAGTTTTGGAAGATGTTTGTTAAGTCACCGATCAAAGACAACTGTCAGAAGCATCACACTGCAGTGGATTCTCCAAGTTACTTGGGAGCAACTTTTTTCCCACACAGTGATGACCATGAACTATGTCCAAGAGAAGACAACAAAAGCCATTACTGAAACTCATATTCTTTACGGCTCCCCAGGATAGCCTAGGTGTGCAGCTGTGGATGAGTGAGACGGCAAAGATGAGTAAAACCTGGTCCAGCCCCAGTTCTGTGGGCCTCAAGGGCTCTCTCTCACCTCCCATGGTGCAACAAGGGGTCTGAGCTAACCTTTGCCAATAATGAGCACTCTTAAGGTTTCGTCCCTAAGCTCCCAGGGTCAGCAGCCAAACACAGAGCGCTGGTTGAGGCAGCACCCTGCCTGGGAGCTGGGGAGCAGAAAGATGGCCCTACAGGTGCCTGCTCTGGGCTCCACGGCCACCTTCTCATGAGGCCTACAGACATCACCCACTCACCTGCAACTTTATGCATACCTGAAAATACAACTGGGGCAGGAAAGGTGTGTTCTGAAGCCACTGCTCATCTTCCTTTTTTAAAATCTAGGAAGGAGGCAGGCATGGTGCCTCACACCTGTATTCCCAGCGCTCTGGGAGGCTGGGGTAGGAGGATCCCAAGTTGGAGCCTAGCCTGGGCAACTTCATAACTTAGTGAAATCCTGTCTCAAAATTTAAAAATGTAAAAGGGCTGCATAAGCCCTGGAGGGGATTCAATCTTCAGGATGGTCAAAAACAAAAAGCTAAGGAGAGAGATAGGACCAGCCAGATAAGACTGACACTAAGCCAAGTTATGAAAGCAAGTGGAAGCCCTGCTTGGGCTGCAGCCCACCTTCCCTCACCAGGCCCCATCTCCCAGTTTTGGACCCCATCACTACACTGGGGTATTCATTCTCCTCAATTCCGCCCTGTCCTGCTACCCACATGTACTTTGAGGGCAGGATTTGGCCTGCACTCACACGGGGTGACAACAGAGCATATTATTCTCTTGACCTCATCTTTATGATCTCTCTGCCTCTCTCTGCCCCTCAGCAATCTCTAATCCCCAGCATGCTCCAAATTGTAACCCACACCTGACACTTCTCAGCCCAGTGTGGACGTCCCCAAGAGCAGAGTGAACCTTGCAAATCTCCAGCCCTGGCTCTGTAGCAGACTCAGGGTGTAAAGGATCCTAGTAGCCCATTTACACCTGGGTCCTGTATCTGTGGGTGCAAAGGACTCCAACTGGCACCCTGATGTGTAGAATCCCAGGTCCAGGCTGTCTCAGGACAAAGTCATCCCACCAGGCACAGTGGACATTCTTTGACCCCAGAGGAGAGGTCAGGGAAGGTGGCAGGGATATGATGTGTGTGACAGCCTGTGTAGTATGGCTAGCGAGAAAGCAGGAAGGAGCTTGGGGCAAATCATGTCAGCAACTTACATGAGTTGTGCTTACTGAAAATTTGTAATACTTCCATAATAAATCTATATGTTTTTGGTTATCAATTTTTGGACAATTTAATATTTTTATTCACAAAAATTGAACATATTTATGGGGTGAAATGTGATTGTTATGGGGTGAAATGTGATTCTTTGATATTCGTAGACATTGGCAAATGATTAAACCAAGTAAATGAGCATGTCTATCATCTCGCTTATTAATCATGCTTTTGTGGTGAGAATACAATATTTATAATCTCTCATACCAATTTTCAAGCACATGTCAGTATTAACAACAGTCAACACGCTGTAGAGTAGATGTCCAGAACCTATCAATTTTGAAACTATTTTAACAGAGGAAAAAAAATAGAAGCCTTAAGACCACACACCAAAACCAAGAGAACCTTGTGGAAATGGAAAGAGAATCATCATAAAAAGCTATAAAAGGAAGGCTCCTTTTAAGGAGTCTAAGGAGCAGGCAGTGGAGGGGGCAGGGTAGAAGACTGACCCTGGGGAACTGGGAGGCTGGATGAAGATCAGGGACCAGCAGCGGCATCCCAGTGTGGAGCCAGGGCTGCCCCTGCATGTTTGCTGGGAAGGTGGGGAGGTGGGAAGGGGCTCTTTGGCACACATGGCAGCAATGCAGACCTGGGCTTAGCAGGAAACCCCTGGATTCCTATATTTTTGGGTCAAGTGCAGAAGCAAAGGTAAAGCCACACCAGGTTCCTAGATCCCAGAAGCCCCGGTTCTCTGTGTGAGCTCTCTGTGGCCCCAGACCCAGGCCACTCAGTGGCTGTCTCTAGCCCCAGACACAGCTGCAGAAAGCCTGGCTTCCACTGCTTCTGGCTTGGCGGCTTCTGCTGGCCATGATGTCATGCTCACATCCTCCCTGGTGGCCATCTGCCAGTCTGTGCGTGTCCAGGAGAATAATTCTCAGGTTCAGACAAGCCCATGAGGAGGAGAGAAAGAGAAGAAACCCTCACATTGGTTAGCTGCAGGCCCAGGACACAAGAACACTGAACGCCCTGCTCAGATTACTCTGAAAGGTAAGGATTGCTTCTTCAGAGCAGCAGCTGCCTTGCACCCAATTTCCTTGCAAAAACATCAGCCCTTTATTATCCCAACCTAGGGAATTGCAGCTCTCAGCCTTTAATTATTAAATAGTACTTCTCAGCCAGCTCTGCTTCCTGCCTAGCTCCAATACTGCCTCCCTGAACTTGCAGGAGGTCTTCAGCTTCTCATCTGCAGCACTCAGAGGAAGAGGCCACTCAGGTCAGCAGCTCCACAGAAGCAGGTGAGAGCAATCATGACTCTGCAGGTAGCTCTGAAGTGTCAGGATGAGATGGAGAAAGAACACACCAGCTCTTCAGCAATGCAGGAGATCACTCACTGTGTCTCCCCTCCCACAGTCCTGCTGCCTGCAGCTAAAGCAGATTCATTTTTTCTATCCCTGGATAAAGACCTCTCGCCGGCAGTACCCTCACCCAGAGCAATACCCATGCAACCAGGATCTCTCCCCAATGTGCTGAGTTAGAAAAGAGCTGTTTAAAAATACTATGATAAAATACATATGACATAAAACTTAGCACCTTTTCCATTAAGTATGCAACAGTATTCATTATTCACATTGTCATGCAATTTTCAGAGGCAATAAACCTATCATCCGTTTCTAGATCTTTTTCCATCTTCCTAAACTGAAAATCTCTCCCCCTTAAACATGAACTCTCCATTCTTCCCTACTCCCAGCCCTGGTAACCACCATTCTAGTTTCTTTCTCTATGAATGTAACTACCCTAGGTAGCACATATAAGTGGCAAGTCATTGTCTTTCTGTGACTGGCTTATTTCATTCAGCATAATGTCCTTGAAGTTCATCCATGTTACAGCACATGTAAGAGTTCCCTTTTTTAAAAAGGCAGAATCATATTTTATTGTATGTTTAAGCTACATTTTGTTTATACATTAACTGATTGGTTAGCTTCCGCCTTTTGTCTACTGGGAATAATGCTGCTGTGAACATGAGCATACAAATACAGAGTCCCTGCTTTCAGTTCTTTGGGATATATATAAATATATACCAAATTGCTGGATCATATGGCATCTCTATGTTTCATTTTTTTCAGCAGCAGTTAAACTGATTCACATTCCTACCAAAAGTACACAAGGGTTCTAATTTCTCCACCTTCTTCTAACCCTTGGTATTTCTCTGGGTTTTGTTTTACAGTACACATTCTGATAGGTGTGATGTATAGAAAAGAACATTTTACACAAAATATTTCTTTTGTGGTAAGTAAGCTGTTTGAAGGCAGGAAAAGGAAGTCTAAGTAGCAGCATCTTTGGGCCAAGGGTGCATTCATACCTACCCACGGCTTTTTGTAAAAGGACTAATTAGGAAGTTTTGTCAACTCTTGATTTTGGTGATGTTTATTGCCTCTGAAAAAAAATGCTATTCATTCCCCAAACAAGACCATGAGCAAGTTGCTTTCTCCCTCCAGTTCTGGAGATCTCTGATACAGTATGGTGACCACAGCTAATACATTATATACTTAAAAGCTGTGAGTAAATTTGAATACTCATCACCAAAACTTGATTAGCAATATGGACACATGCTGGATATGTTCTTTAACTTGCAAGAAAAGGAAACAATAGAAAGATAGAAGACTACTTCCAATATAGGGAAAATCTTCATAAGGTATTAAGATTTTTCAACAAAACAACCAGGAGTGGTTATAAAAACCACTTTCAAAATAGGGAACTTTGGGCCGGGGATTTAGCTCAGCGGTTCCGGTGCCTGCCTTGCAAGCGCAAAGTCCCGAGTTCGATCTCTGGTACCAAAAAAAAAAAAATTTCAAACAAAATAGAGAAGTTAGAAGGTTAGCTATGTATTCCAATGGTGACGTTTAGAGCACCTCTCTAGGAAAGGCTTTCAGACTTAACTTCATTTCATTTGGAAAATGAGTCGAATTCAGGACATGCTCCCCAGCACTCCTGCTTGCTACTCAAATGAAATCCACTCTCAAGGATGGTACCCTTAACCCCTCACTGCTATGGTTAGGGTGCATTTCCAAGGCCCTCCAATGGTGTCAGCTCTGCCCTGTGGGTGGCCGGAGCTGTAGGGAAGGTGGTACTTGGAGGTTCCCAGCACTCACTGATGGCCACAAACCAGGCACATTTACCCCTTGGTCCTTGGTGCCGACTTGTGCGCCAGTCAATGCTTTCAAAAACATCTCATTGTCTCATTTAATGACACCCAGTAAAAGCAGCAAATGCCCCCAGAAAAGACCCATATGCTGCAAAGCACCTTTTAACCCTATGGGCTGGCAATGACGGATCATTGTAAGAGTGATCAGGTGCCATTTGGGGTCTGGCGGTGGCCATGGGCATGCTGTGGGCTTTTAGCAGGAGAATGGAGCTGCACTGCCTGGTGCCTGGGTTTGGGTCACAGACCCTCCCTTCTGGCTTCCGGTGTCACTGGGCCAGGAGTTTGCAACAGGTGGCCAGGCAGATGTAAACAAAGAGCCAGTCGTGACCAAAAAGAAAAATGTTAAATGTCCCTTGATGAAGGGACAGACTGCCTTCAAGCTAAAGACAGGATAAAGTTCTCTCCACCGCTTTACCTCTAAACCCAGAGTAGAAAAAGTAGCACAGAATTTGCGGATTTCTCTAAATTAAAAAAGAAAATGTAAGCCTTAAAATTCAAAGTTGATATATTCCTGGCAAGTCTAATAAAATTTAGGCATTTTTAATCTAATGGATTACATTAAGAATTATTTTTCCATAATTTCTATAGGAGGATATTGATGTAAACAAATCACAATTTTATTTAAACTCTTAGAGCAAAGCAATCAAGAGAGGTATTAAAACACAGGGACAAGTGAAATAGCTACATCTATATCTGTGGTGGTTTGTGTCCCCCAAAAGAGAAATGGTCAACTCGTATCCTCCAGTACCTGTGAAGGTGACTTTATTTGGCAAACAGGTCACTGCAAATGTAACGGAGCTAAAATGTGGTCCAGTGGATTGAGGCAGGCCCAAATCCAATGACCAGTGCTCTTCTAAGAAGAGGGAAACGTGGACTTAGAGACACACAGGGAGAGGGCACATGATGCATATAGAAATCAAGGCATGCCACGGACATCCTGAAGCCCCTGCAGCAGGAGATGGAAGGAGCCTTCCCTATGGCTGCCAGGAGAGCACAGCCCTAACACCCTGACTTTGAAGGCTTACGCTCTAAACTGTAAAGGGGATAAATTTCCTCATTTTAAGTCATTCAGCTTGTGGTCATTTTTGCAGCAGCCCCAGGAAACTAAAGCCACCACGCCACTGTGCTTGGGAGGCTGGTCTGGGATTCTGCTGTCCACTCCTGCAGCCCTGGTTTCCTCTGCAATCCAGAAGAGGAGCTCCAGTCCTGCAGCCTGTATGGAAGCTTCACTGCTTGCTTCAAATAGAGGCTGCATGTGACTCCCGTGGGCACCAGAAGGTTCAGCTCCCCAGAGGAGCCTGTGGGCCCTGTGAATGGTCCGCCCAGTGATGCTGTAGAGGGCACATACATGCCTATGTGGACTTCCTCCCACAGGATGTGGCGGGCACCCACTCTCCTCGCTAACCATGCTGAGGCCAGACTGAAGTAGCTTCAATCCCACGTGAGCAATTTCCCAATCCGCATTTGGTGGAGGGGAGGAGTATTAGGTGAATTTTCTTGGAATCTACCAAGACTTCTGGCTATCTAAGATTACAGTATTTTTCTGTTATTAATAATAGGACAAATAGTGGCTCGTACGGGTGCTAGGAAAAGCGCTTCACAAGCAAGAGCTCATTTTAATCCTCAGCCCTCAGAGCTGGATATCATTGTGAATCCCTAGTTGACTCATGAGGAAACTGAAGCCCAGACGGGTATTCAAAGATTTGATTTCCAAGGCTGAACTCCCAATAACATTGCCCTATAAAGGGAAATGCCTCCTCCCCTGTCTAGTCAGGTATTGGTGGCTCCAGTTTTACCTGGTCACAAATACAGCAGCATCCACGGGGGGTGCATCATCCTTCCCCCCTGGGACCTGATTGTTACCAAGGTACCGTGCGCCTCCATATTCTTCATTCTGCCAGTGACAGAAGCTCTCCAAGGACCGCTCCCCGTGGTGCCCAACGGACAACCTAGCCTGAAAGCAATTGAGGGGCGAGTCAGAGAAGGAAACGCCCAGCCAGAGAAGTCAGAGCTTCCATCCAGACCATGGTGGGGACGCTGACAGCTGCTCACTAAGATGTCATTCCTAACACTGCACCAAAATTAAAGCCTAACATTGGTGCACACTTGGGAGACCCTGATAATCACTAGGGACCTTATCTATAAGTTCAAATGAAGATTGTTATTAAAGAAAAGCTACTTTTTTGTTATCAGAACAGTGTGGTGAGCCAAGCAAGCAGAATTCCCTCAGCCTCATGCTTATAGCGCAATTCTGAAGGGGACTCTGCTGGGAGCACTGTCACGTGGGAAGGTGCTCAATTAAAAGACCAGAAAACAATGCTATGGTGAACCCAACTGGTGTGGAAGCTCCAGGAGGGGAGCTATGATCCAAAGACCTCCTTAAGCTCTGCGCACGTCTGAGAGCCATGCGCAAGACCTTGCAGGAGGGGAGAGGGGTGTGCACCAGCCAGGCTCAGGGTTCCCATGAGAAGAAACAAGCAGCACACACTCCGTGTTTCCAGTATGGACACCTCCTCTCCTCTCACTGCTGCCATCTTCAGGGCCGGGGATAAAGCATTCAGGCAGGGATTTGGAGCCTTCCTTAGCACTCCATAGCAACAGGAAGCTCTGAGATGTGTTCCATCTTCTGCATGCTTTGAAAGGGGCCCAAGGGTACTTACAGGACGCTGTCGTAGCAGGACAAGCTTGGTAACTTGAATATTAATTTTCATTCCCAGGCTATGGTGCTGAAACATATTGTACACCTATCAAAAGAAAAAAAAGAAATCTAGATAAAATATAACTTTAAAAATACGCTGGTATCCTGGGTAGGGATTTGAAACAAAGAAAAGATATTGGGTTAAAAACTAAGGAAATCTGAATAAACCAAGGACTTTTAGATTACGGTAGCAATCAATATTGACTAATTATTTTTAAAATGCCTTCATGTAAGATGTTAATCCGGAAAACTATATGAGAATTCTGTAGTATCTATTCAAATTTTCTGTAACTCAAAAGCCATTCTAAAATACAGTTTATTAATAAAAAATCATATTAATATTAAAAATTCAGCTTGCACTCTTCCAGTCCTAGAAAAACTAAGATAAGTACATGTAATTCAAATTTCAGTGTGCATAAAGACTTCTTTCCACAAAAAAATACATATATAGTACGTTAGAAAAATAATGCAAATTTTATCAAAAAGATTTTCTGAGACTAGAAAACTCTCCTGAAGTGAATTCTCTGAAAGAAAATGTGTATGATGGAAAATTAGACTCACCCACACGTGCATACGTGGACACACACCCAATGCTAAGCTGGAAACCAGTTGGTCTTTTAAAAATGAATAGGATGCATGATTTGGGGGACGAAATATGTTAGCTGCTTCTGGCAGAAAACTCAAAACTCCCATGTGGGCTTTCCTGCAGGGGGGCTGAAAGGGGAGGGGAGAGAGGTGCCTGCCGTGTGCCAGCTGTTCACCTCTGAGACCTTCACCACCACCAGTCAAGGATGGCATGTGCACCACCCTCGGCAGGGAAACAGGCTCATTGAGGGAGGTAAAGCCACCTGTTAGAGACACAGAGCCAGTCAACAGTGACTTGACTCAAACCCAGGTGTGTCTAGCCAAAACATCCATTTCCTTTTTTCCCCAAACTTCTCATCCTTGCCAAAATTTGTCACAGAGACAAATTGTTATAACAGAAAAGGATCTCTTTCTCTGTGTTGCCCCTTGCTGTGGTTCGAGTATAATTTGAGGGTCCCCAGTGTGGTACTAATGGGAGATGCTATGGACTTTTAGAAGGAGGGATCTGGTGGGAGGCCCTGAAGTCATTTGTCCTGCTTCTTGGATGGAGATATGACCTGTCTCTCTGACATTCATCCCCACCAATGCCATCTGGTGCCTTCGCCATAGGGCAAAGCAATGGGTCTGCTTGATCTTGCTCTTGAACCTCCAAAATAGTGAACTCCACAAACCTTTTCTTTGTATATGCTACCTGCCTCAGTCATTTAATTATAGTAATACAAAACTGCCTAATCCACACCTATTCTTGGTAGCACTTATTTATATGGCCTCAACATCAGGAAGTCCTAGAAAAGTGTTCCAAGGAGAAGAGGTAAAGAAAAATTCAAATAATGCAGAGGCATCAAAGTTGACATGAACAAAGAAAGCCCATTAGATTTAAGGATCCCCACTCACCATGGACCTCTTGAGTTCCTCTTCCATAATCTGGAAAAAGTGGGACTCAGAGTCTCTGTGGACATGGTGATAAAGGGGGAAGTAGCTACAGGATACAGTGGAGCAGGAATGGGGACATTTTGATTATTCTGCTTGGCTAAATCATAGCATAATCCAGAAGGGAGAATTTTCTACCAGGGGCGTTAAAACTTTTTCCAGTTGGTGCTACCTCCCACTTCCAACACAGCAGCAGCAGCAGCAGCAGACAGCAGGGACCACTGCAGGCAGTGTGGCCAGGGTCAGCTCAGGCCATGCAGAGCTGATGTGTGACAGCGCCAAGCCTATAAGCCAGACAAGCACAGGGTGGAGGCATCTGTGTGACACAGGGATCAGTGGTATCACAGCTTGGACTTGACTCACTGAAAACTGCTATTAAGTTCAACAAACCCTACCTTTGTGTACCTTCATATTCTTTACAAGGAATAAAATGGCACAGATTCACTTGCTTCGTTCTCACTTTTTGTTTTTTCCCCAAATTTCCTTTTCTCAAGAACAAAATAGCAGTTTTTTTAAAACCTGACCATAGGCCAGTTCTGAAATCATGTCTTCATTATCTACCCCCAACCCTGAGGGAAGAAGAGGAAAGCACATAACTTTTTCCTTGTTTTGGTATTTCAAGAACCACCCAATGGCTCTAATTCAAATTTTTCCTGAAATATTCAGCACAAGAATTAGACCCAAACTGGTAAACCTCAGTTCAAAACATGAAAATTTGAAAGAATGAAAACTTGACATTATGAAGGAGAAAATTCGAGTTGGACAGGGTTTAAGGTATCTAAACAATGAAGGGCAGGAGGGCACACAGCTAAGCGGAAGAGTGTGTGCTCCTAATGCATGAGGCCCAATTCCCAGCATCAAAAAAAAAAAATCTAAAAAATAAAAAACTATGCCTGTAATGTCAACACCAACCAAACAGAAAGCCATTAAAAATACTCTTGAGTTTAAAGGAATAACATGCTAAAAGCATTTCTCAGTGGTATTCTGATCTGCTGCACAAAAAATGAATACATCTGCAGGGAATGATTGCAAATATCAGGAAAAGTAAGGCCACAGGACAAGCTGGGTTGCTAGAAGCACCCATTGCTTCTTGCTGGGTTGAGAACAGTTCAGATCCATACCCCAAGGGGTCGTCACTCCCCTTGGGACAAATGCATAGAAAGTAAGATTCGAGGTAGAAGAGGGAAAAAGGCCTCATGCTCCAGGAGAAGGCAGAAGATGAAATGGGGAGTTGTTCAAGGGGTAGTGTCAGTTTTGCCAGAAGGAAGAGTTCTAGAGATTGGGCAATAACATGAATATACTCAATCCTGCACTGTGCACTTACAAGTGGCTAAGATGGTAAATTTTATGTTATGTATATTATGTCCCAATAAAAATTTCCATTTATGTAAAAAAAAAAGAACTCATCTTCTAAATAACTCTCCATAGTAGGCCTGCAGATAGGCATCTCTTTGCAATGAAGGTATTCCAGGCTAAGAAAGCAGGAATCGGAGCCGGATCCAGCCAAGCACTTGGTCACCCACCACATGCTGACCACACCCCAACAAAGCTCTGCAGAACACGGCAATGCAGGGTGGATGCACATGTGGCCCTCAAGGCCCCACACAAAGCCAGACCCTCAAAACACAAGGCCCAAGCCTCAAAGACATGTAACTAAGTCTCCCTGTCTTCTTTCCAGTGGGAACTTGTGCTCAGGAGAAGTCCAGGAGGCAGCAGCCGGGTGATGTTTAGGGAGACACCTAGCTGGGCACCGAACAGTGTAGCCAGTTGTCTAGAAATTCTGTCCCTGGTGTCCAGCTCTGGCTGTGTCCCAGTGAATGCTCAGATCTCTGGCTGTCTCAGTCACATTTCCTTGCCAGCTGGACCCACTGCCAACAGCACACTGCAGCCCTCCCAGCTGGGTGACTTGGGGACACCATGGGAGGTGGGGGTGGGTGGCAAACGAGGACTAGAGGAGCAGGTGGGGAGAGAAGATGGGGTGGAGCCGCTCGTAACAGTAGGCATGGTTTTCACAGGGTCGCCACTTACCTGCATGACCCGGAGTTTGCCCAAGGATAGACAGGGACGTGCAGGTCCCACATAGCACCACTCAGAACCCAACAGGAGGGGTTACATTCTCTGCCACAGTGCCTCTGAGGGGGTCCCCAAAGCAGTGCATCAACATCCATTGCGCACGCGTTGGAAATGCACACTCGGGGCCCACCCCAGACCCTGTGACTCAGGTGTCCGACTCCTGCTGGAGCACACCAGTGAGCCTACCACTGTGCTGGCAATGCTGGTGCCCAGAGGGGCTTGTTGTCTGTTTCACATGGTAATTGGTGAAACTGATGTCATTTTTTCTTCAAATAGAGCTTGCCTGGAATGTCTCTGGCTTTTCATTCCACACCATGGTCGTTATGGAAGCTAAGAACAACCGAAGCTCTGTCAAGTGGCCGTTTCCCAGTTTGGCTGCTCAAACCTGAGGTTTCTGGCGTCTGCATCACCTGTTTCCATATGCGATCTGTTCTTACCACACATTGCTGTTCTGGTGTCACCACTGGCCTCACCGAAGGAGAACCAAGTCACATATGCAGAAGGGCACTCGGCATACGTGGAGAATCCACAACAGCCCAGCAACACAAGGCACCTCACGTAAGTGGAATCAGCCCTTATTTGTCCTCGGGTGTCTAGCTTATCTCACTCAGGATCATGTCCTCAAGGCCCCTCCACATTGTAACATATGTCAGAATGCCCTTCCTTTTTAAGCGTGAATATTTTACTTATGTACATGCACATTTTATTTATCCATTCACCCATCTATGGTCACTTTGATGTCTCCACCTTTTGGTAACTGGAAACACTGCTGCCATGATCATGGGTACACAAGTATTTCTTCAAGATCCTGCTCAAGTTAGTTTCTGTAGACACCTGGAAGAGGGATCGTGGAGTTTCTATCAAAGTCTCTATCACACTGCAGGCCAGCCTTCGTAGTGGTTAGAGAGCTGGAGCAGTGGTGGATTTTATTTTTCATGGAGAGAAGAGCAAAACAGTATCTACTACTATTTTCAGTCCAGGTGGGGAGGAAGAGAAAGGATGGACCCCAACATATCACCTTCCTCATGGTACCGTGGGGGTCCTTGCCCTGGGTGGGGGTCTTGCCTGGCTGTGCACTCCCTGGCTCGGCCTGCTGGCTCCGCCACTCCCCTGGAACTCCATTTCCTCTCTGTAAAGTAGGAACGAGGTGGCAGTGATGCGAAAGCACCGGCCTGCTATCGGGGCTGGCAGGCCCAGCACAAGCATCCCCTTCTTTCCCCCACCTCTAACTCGGCCATCAGGCCAGGACTGACACTGATCTATGGGACTGCAGCTGTGAGATGCTGTGAAAACCATGGGAGCGTTTGAGGTCAAATCTCTCGGCTCAGGAAGCAGTGTGAGCACATGGTGGGGGCAAGGCCTGTGTGTGTTGCTCACTGGCTCCCACCTAAGGGCTCAAGGTGGCACACATGTGCAAGCAGGGACTCTGCCCACAGAGATCCAGGTGGGAAGGTGGGAAGGGGGCGAATGCCAGGCCATCAGCACCGCGGACACCACAGCCCACAGCTTGGAGAGAAATGTGTTGGAATGAAGGCGGCCACCGATTCCAGCAGGTTTCCTTGCATATCCAAGGGGACTAAGGACCAAAGCCACTTCCAGCCTGCAGCTCCACGAGGCACTCCCAGAGGAAGGCAGAGGGCTCGTCTGCATCCTGCTCCCATGCCAGCGCCTGGGTGCTGTCTCATGACAGGGCTCCTCGGCCCAGCCACGGTCCCTTCCCTTCGTCCTGGCTTACAGGTTATGTCACTTCCACACAGAATCTCTTTCCTAAAACAGCCAGAGGCAAGGCAGAAATCTTCAGGTTTCCTAACCTGGGACTGAGGGATAAAAGAAGGGAGACGGTGGCGGTGGTGGAGGCCAGTCTTGTCCAAAGCAAGGCGTCACAGCTGAAGGCCACTTGTCTTTCAATGCACAGGACAGCAACCCTCCATAGCAGGACAGAAAGGGTCATGTGTCCCCAGGCTCTTCTGTCATTTGCTCTCCGCCTTGATCAGCCCAGGAATCCCAAGTACAGACAGCTAAAGGGGTGAGTGTCATCACCTCATGCTGTCACACAGCAAGATCACCCTCCTTGGAAGCAGGCAACTTTGGGAAACTTCCAATCCAGATTTGATGTGGCAGGCCCCAGATCTGCCCTCAGCCGTGAGGTCTTGATGCTTGGATGGATTAGTGTAAGCAGCTGAAGAGGAGTGAAGGGTGTTAAATGAAAAGCAAGGGACAGAACCATTCTGTCCCTCCAGTCCTTCGGTCCTTGCAGCCTGTGTGGGGTGGGAAGTGGGGGACTCTTTCCGTGTATCGCGCCCATCTCTCCCCTTCCCTGCCTGTGCTGAAACAGCTGTCCCTGCCCAGATGATAAAGTGTGAAAGCAAATATCAAGGCAGAAGCTCTGCCTTATTACTACCTTAGTGGCCATAATGAATGTTTAGTCCTTGCACGTGTACCCTGGATAATTAAAAAATAAACGAATGAGAGGAAATTCTCTGAAGATGAAAGAGCCTGGTGCAGAGCCAGGCCCCAGCAGCCCTCCTCTCGGGCTTCCTCTGGGCAGACTTAGCAGCGCAGCCCATCATTACCCAGCCACCAAAGGAGAGCTGGGTTTGTGCAAATGAAACCATTCTTACAAACCTGGCCAAGGTGCCATCAAAGGTGAGCAAAAGCGATTCCACTGCAGGGTTTATACCCAAAAGAACTGAAACCAAGGATCCAAAGACATATTGACATGCCCACGTTCACAGCAGCATTACTCAGAAGAGCTGTCTCAGTCCCTTTTCTGGTAATGCATAATGAACAGAAGATAATTTAGTTCATGCTCCTGGAGGCTTGGAAGTCTAAGAACATGGTGCTGACACCTGCTTGGCTTCTGGTGAGGGCTGCACCCTACATGGCAGCGGACACCCCACAGTGAGACACAATAGCACGCGAGTTCAGATCTCTCCTCCTCTTCTTATAAAACCATGACTGCCAGCAGGGGGGCCCATCCTCATGACTTAATCTAATTCTAATCATCTCCCCACCCTCCAAATGCCATTAACATATGAATTTTCAGATTAAATCTCCAACATATGAATTCTGAGAAAAATGTAAACCAAGCATCAGCCAAAGGTAGAATCAACTCAAGTGTGAACCAATGGATGAATGGACGAACAAAATACGACACAAGTCTATGCAAGAACATTATTCAGCCACAAAAAGGAAGGGGATTTCAACACATGCTACAGTGTAGCTGAACCTTGCAGACTTTATGGTAAGTGAAATTAAACCAGTCACAGAACGACAAGTATTGTATGATTCCACTTGCGATGAGGTACTGGAGTAGTCAAACTCAGAGACAGAAAGAGGAATGGTTTCACGGAGACCAGGTTTCAAGATGGAAAAGTTCTGGAGATGCCAACATGAGTGTACACAGATTATGCACCTAAAAATGGCCTCAATGGCAACTTTACACTATATGTGCATTTTACCACCCAAAAAAAGAAATTGAAAAGCAAAAAAAAATTTGATGGAACTCCCGGAGTCAATGCAGCCCTCCAATGCATGCATAGAGCCCCTCCAGTTGGAAAGAGACCTCCAGCAGAGCACCCCAGGGCCTCTGTCACTAGTTGGCTTTACAGATGGTCCTGTCACATAAGGGAATGCATGGGTCCAAAAGCATACATGAAGCAGCCTCTGCTTTAGAGCACAGCATGTGGGAGGGAAGCAGACAAAGCAGACAGCTTCCTACAGATCAAGAGGCCAGCCTGATGAAATGGGGCAGAGGACCCAAGACTCATCTTCTCAGCCAGCAGGGCCACCATGGGGCTCCCCAGGATGGGGCTCAGCGAGCTCTAGTTCCCTGTGACCAGTAGGGGAGAGGCTTGGCCCAATGCTCAGGGCCCTGCCTGTGACCCTGGTGATGTCCCCAAATTTCTTGGCTCTTGGGCTTCCTTCAGCCTCTGGGGAACAAGCTGTGGGATCCCAGTCCTCATGTTCTTTGTGCAGGCCACTGCGCACCACCTGGCCTTCCAGCCACCACAGCCCCAGCTACATGATGACCAAAGCTGAGGTTCCAATAGAAAAGGAACATCGGGGTTCCTCCAGCTGCTGTGCCCACCCCCGCCCAAAGATGCATCCTAGAGCCCCAGAGGGCCCTCTCAGAAATACCCGAACATGGGCGAAGAGCCACCTGCAGGCTTTGTCTTACTCATAGCTGACTCAGCTCCCAGCATCCAGGCACACAAGGGCATCTGCAGCCTGGGCCAGCTAGGGCTTCCATCTCCCCTAGACCTGGTGAGCTTGGTTTCACGTGACCCAAAGACCGTGCAGATCCCCAGGATTGAGGTCTGCCATCTCCCACCCCACAGCACGCCCACTGCTGCCAAGCCCTGCCAAAGCTCGGCTCCACTCGCTCCTCCAGCACCGACACTGTTAAACCTTGCCCTCTCTAGTCTGCCATCCATAACCATCACGACCTGTCAGTGGCTGCCAGGCACATACACTTGTGTGGCAGGAGCTCAGCCCCTGACTTACAGGTGAAGAGCAGGCTGGCCACACTCCTAACCTCTGGTCCCCTTTCCCTCCACAAAGTCCTCTCTGGACCCAACTCCATCCTGTGAGGTTCTCTCCCTCCCCTTGCACCAAGATCACCTGCAATTGCTCTTTCTACTTCATTTCTCATTCACTTTTTTTGCCCATCGAGCATCCACCCTCAGCAATCCCTAGGGCTACTCTACCAGGGACCTGACCAAGCCAGCAACTAACTGGCCCTTTTCTGAACTGAACCTGTCAACCTTTCCCTAGGAACAGTCTCCCCTCAGGACTCTTTTCCCACAGCCCTTGGGCTGATGCTCCCCGGGCTGTCTTTGGCCACCTTCTCTAGTCTTGGAGATGCTCCTGTGTCCACAGCTTGCACTACCAGCTCCACGCTGAAAAGCCTCTATTTCCTATTTCCAGCCAAGACTGCCATCACGACTGGCCACCTAGAATTCAGCTTGCTGTAATGGAAATCTTCCCCAAGGCTCCAAACACTTTCTCTCCTCCTCTTCTCGGTCAGTGCCTCCTTCGTCCACCGAGGCTCACAGCTTAAAGTCCCCATTTCTTCCTCTTCCTCCTTCATGTCCCCCTTCCACATCCTGCCAGTCGCCACTTCCCACAGGTCCTTTCTCCCACCAGCTCCTCCATCCCCACTCCTGCCCCTTAGCTCAGATCCTCTCCGCACTCCCACAACATTCCCGAAGCTTCCACTCACTGTTTCCTGCTCCAATCCACTCTGCACACGGCACTAAAGCACTTCCTCCAATCATGGATCTGGGTACGGGTCCCCTCCCCTGTGAGGATCCTGCAGCCCCTAGGAGTAAAGCCCCGCCCCTTGGGATGCCTTACCCACCCTCCCCAATCCACTTGACCCTGCCCACATACCCACCCACACCCTGAAAGCTCCTCTGCTCCCTGGCCCTGTCTCACCTCCTAGCCACCCCTAACAGAGCTGCTAAACCCCCAAGCCTCAGGTTCTCTATATTTACTATGTGACCTCCCCACCCATACTCCCATCCTATCCAGTACTTACTCCCTCCCTAAGCAAGGTCTGCTCTTTCATGACACCTCCATGTTGCTGGATGATCACCAGCCAGCCCCCTACCTGGACCCTAGTGGTCCCTGCATGTGTTTCTATGACAACATGGATGCTCTGTTCATCTGTAACAGTACTGCCTTCCCAGGGAAGCAGCAGGTCATTTTTGCTCTTACATCCCTGGCACCTAACACAATGCCAAAAATTTCTGAAGGTCTTCATAAATGCTTACTGGGCAGGGGAATCTATGGGTGGGTGTGGGGGCCTTCAAAGAGACTTTAGTGTGTCATCTTTAAGATGTCAGCCCCTCGACACTCATTCAGGCAAAGAAGGCTTCCCTCTATCCCTATCAACAGATGGACTGCAGACACAGGCTTCACCATTCCTTTCCTGGTTCCTTCAATTTGCTAAGTTTCCCAGCTTCCTTCAGGCTCTTGGGCACACAGGATACTCTGTTGTCCATTAAAGTTGGATTCTGATTCCTCCTGTTAGACTGCTGACTACTGAGAACCAAGACTGGGACGTCTGAACTGTGAACGCCCCTTGGAGTGAGGCTTATGCATAGCAAAGGTCTTAGAAAGTGTCCTGGTAACGAGTGCTCAGGTCACCGTTGCCAGGAAGACTTGGCACTCAAATACCACAGAGCACACAGTCTCCTGAGCACACAGAACCCACGTCCGCCTGCTCCGGATGTCCAGGCTCACAATGCCATGTGCACCATCCCCCAGCCAGCTGCTGCCTCCCCTGAGGTGAAGATGTGGCACCTGCTCCTGGAGCATCCATGGAGGAGAAAACAGAGCTCAAACTCACCATGTTCATGACAGTGAGGATGAACCTCTGCGCGGCCTCCGCCCCGTGGTACTGGACCATGTTGGCATCTGCCACCACCAGGGTCTCCACCGTGTGCTCACTGGTGAGCCGGATGGCGTTCCTCCGCTCCCGCCACACCCTCGATGGCCTGGCCTTTCTGGGCGTCTTCTTCTCTAGAAAACAATGGAAACACTTGTGCAGTCCTTGGCCTACTGACTTCCAAAACAGTACAGACCAAAGCTCCCCATGGAGGCGCCCCAAGCACAGGTTCCCTATGGACTCATTGCCTTCAGACCTCCACGGTCACGTGGGTGAGCCTGAGGCCACTGGCCAGGGTAGCAGAGGGGAACGAGGTGGGGAACCTGGACACTGAACGAGGCTCACCTTGTCTACCTGGGAGTGAGGGGCTAAGGATGACTGAAGAGAAAGCTGTCCCTTCAGAGGGACAGGGAGAGCCCCATACTTTGAGCAGAGGAACAGGAAGCCTGGACCCCAGGGGTGGGATCTGAAAACTCCTCAGGTCAAGGATACAGAACCAGGCCACAGCACTGGGAGGCCAAGCTCAGTCAGGAATGAGGGGTCATGGTCCTTGTCCTGTATTTCCAGACTCTGGCACAGAAAGAGCTGCATTTTTAGCATGGCCTTTAAAGCATTGTTGAAAAAATAATTTTAAATTTAAATACAAAATAAGAAAAATAAATAAAACCATAATTTAAAAAATCATACATATCCAACCTAAAATGTGAGTCCACCCCTTCCTTACAACAGAGAAGGTTTATTAATAAATATGTGGAAAATTTCTCTGTTGACTTTTCCAATAAACTGGAAAAAATCTGTTGATCTGTAAGATCTTACTTTGACAAAGAGCCATTGTCATCAATTAAAGAGCCTAAGTCTAAGCAGGGCCCCTTAGTAGTATACATGTGCAATCCCAGCTATGCAGGTGGCTGAGGCAGGAGGATGGGATGCTTGAAGCCAGCCTGGGCACCTTGATGAGACTGTCTCAAAATAAAAATCAAAAAGGACTGGGGATATAGCTCAGTGATTGAATGCCCCTGGGTTTTACCCACTTAGGAAAGAAAAAGGCAAAGCCTGCTTCTGACTATTCAAAGCTGCTGAGTGAAGACTGACAGGCCCGTATGCTTGGAAATGCCTCTCAGCTACAGCACAGGGTGGTATGCACGGAATCCAAATGTGAACAGGAAGCAGCTCTTTACCTTGGGAGTTATTATTTCCATTCTAGCAGTAGCCTACATGGACACATCTCTGCTTCATTGTATACACAGTAAAACAGCCCAGAGACTATGAAATGATCTGAGACATATACTGTACTTTACATGTGCTGCTCAATGTAATTTATAATTATGAAAAAGTAGAAAACAGTTGAAATATCTAGCCACTGACTAAGCTGACTACTCTAGCCATTGACAATGGATAAAATAAAAAGATAGAAGGCCATTAAAGTCACACCTGTGAACATACACTGACAGAGATAGACAGATATAAATCCATATATACAGTCAGATCCCAACTGAGCAAAAACACAACATGCACAAGTATTTTCAGACTCCAAAGACAAAAATAAACAACCAAGAAAGAATTAAAATGTCAGTGGTGACATGTGATCTTCATTTTCCTTTTTCCTGTGTATTTTCAAAATTTATACAATGAACACGCAGTACTTTAAGAAATATCACTGAGTTTGAGAAAAATGCAGAAGTCATTTTCAAAATATCAACAATAAAACAAAAAGCATGAGGGGCAAGTATCCCATCCAATTTATCACAAAAATGCAAAATGGAAAGGTGAATGTGAATGTCCCGCCAGGCACAGGTCCTATTCAGCCCTCTGAGCTCCTGCCCTGGAATGAGAGGAGGGGAGGCCGCGTGGAAGGCAGAAGGAGAGAGGCCCTAACTGGAAGCCTACCAACCTCCACCCACATTTACCAACTCCATGAACACCAGGAAGGGGGAAGAGGAAGCAAGGGCCCGATTTGCTCTGTGCGCCTGTCAGGTGTGCGTGCTTGGGTCTGGCCAACAATCCAGGCTGGAATTTGTCGAGATCCCCCTCATTTCCGTGGAGAAGGTCACCAAGCAGGGGCTCTCTGTAGCCAGCACACCCATGTTCCCCTCAGGCCACCTGAGACCCATGCGCCAGGCAGAGCCCTTCACGGATCTCGTCTCGGGCATCAGCAACTCTTGCCTTCCCCTTCGAATGTCCCCACCAAGCCTGTCAGTGCTTATCTGCAGTACTCAGTACCCCTGTCTTCTATCTCCAGACTCCCAGCATGTCCTGAGGACTCTTTAGTACTGCTGCTCCAGGAGGCCGCGGGCTTGAGGATATGCCAGCACAGTGCTCACACATTCGGTACCCAGCACACACAGCCCAGGGGAGCAGGCGGCTCCCAGGCATCTCAGATATCAAAGCCCCACACGGGGTAGCAGTCTTTTAAGTCTACAAAGTTGATCTCATAAGACCTGCTCCTCTCTGTCCAATGGACCCTGGGCAGCTAAGATAAGAGGGTGTCATAAGCTGGTAGTATAGCACATTCTGCTAGTCCCAGCTACCCAGGAGGCTGAGGCAGAAGGATCACTTGACCCCAAGAGTTTAGAAAAAGACTGCCAACATAGGGTGTCATAAATGTCATTCTGCACAAGTGTAAAAAGTTGGCAGGCCTCGAGTGTGAAGTAGCAGATAAAACAGTGGTGAATACCCTGATTTTTCTCTATGAGTATTTCATCGCCCCAGCAGCAGCACTGGTAGGAGTAAAGATTGAGCAAGTGCAGAAAGTAAAAGGAAGGAAAGGGACCAAGCAAAGACACCAGCTGGCAACAGCCTCTCCTTGGTACAGCTCAGATCTTGCCACAAAACCAATACCAAAAATCCTGAATTGGTTTTTGGTGTTTTTCTTTTTCTTTTCAGTTTTTCCTTAACCTTTGGGTGTAGGTTTCTTTTTCATGCACATGTAATAATTGTATATGTTTGTAGGGTACAGTACAATAATTTCCTATAAGTATACAACGTATAATCATCAAATCAAGGCAGTTAGCATTCCATCTCATCTCTGATCATTTCTATGTGTTGTGAACCTTCAGACTCTTCTAGTTACTTCTGAAACATTATAAATCACTCCAGAACGCAATTAACTTAGAATGCTGGAACTCTCTTTCCTGTCGAACTGCATTTCACCATCTGCTATTTAACCTCTCCTATCCCTCTCCTCCCTAGCTCTAGTGACCACTACTCCATAAACCCTGGATGTGGGAATTGGAGCCGTGACAGGATAGACCTGCATGCCCTTCTCACCTAGGTGTCCATGCTGGGGAAGGAGACGAACAGGAGCAAGGGCCCTGGATAGCAGAAGGAATCTTGCCCTTCCTTCCATCTCTGCTTGCTGTCATCAAACACACTACCAATGTGTCTCGTGGGACATCTCCAGCCAGTTATTCCTTTCCCTCTGGAGAGAAAACCATATGCATTTTTATCTTTAATTCCCTACGCTGCAGAAAGGTGCCCTAATAGTCTCAGAGATGCCAACATTCACAGACTGGAAGCACCCTGAAAGGGAGAACCGGCACCCTGAGGATCACACAAGTGCTGGGTTGGGGCTCCCTAGAGTGGTCTGAGCACAGGCAGGCAGGTGTGTGGCCGAGTGGCTCTCCACACTGCTCACAGCTTCCAGCCACCGTGGAAGTAAGGAGGGGGGAGTACACATCACATCATGTCAGCCCGGGCCCTCTGCGACTGTCACAGGTACCTGGGGTTATTCCTGAAGCCAAGCCCTGTCATCTCTTTGGCCAGCACACACTGGAGGGGGTACTGACTTGGGAGATTGTAAAAACCTGGCCTCCTTTGATTTTTGTTTTAACATTTATTTTCCCTTTGGTTCAGTTCTCCATTAAACCAAACAATTTTATATATTTTTTACAGAAGACACCCCAGATCCTTTTGGAAGAAAATGAGGAGGAGAAAAAGACAAAGAAGACATCAAGGGCATTTGCAATGTACTTCTCGAACTTTCAAATTATGACTCATCCCAAAAGTTTGGGGACTATTGAAGATGCTAAGAAAACACATACATGGTCATTGTAGTTACTAACTTTGCTCCTGGCAAACTTAAAGGAAATTTCAATTATGAATTTTCAAGCTCTATATGGAAAAATATACCTTACTATAAAAACAAAACAGTACCAGGTAGGGGGTGTAGTTTAGTGGTGGAGCACTTACTTAGCATGCCCCAGTCCCTGAGTTCCATCCTCAGCAACAAAAACAAACAAAATAAAGGGTAGAGGGCCGGGGATGTAGCTCAGTGGTTTCGCCACCTGCTGCGCAAGCGCAAGGACCCAAGTTCGATCCCCAGTACCAAAAATAAACCAAAAAATACAAACAAAAAAAACCAAAATAAAGGGTAGTTAGCTATTTCCTAGGAAAAAATCACATAGATCACCAGATATTTGGTGTGTAGCTCCTCCCTGAATTACTCTACTTCCTGCTACACAAGATCCTTGTGTCTCTGATTCTACCAATGCCATATTCAGGGGATGACCTTGAGGTACCTTAGGTGCGAAAGTATAAGAAAAATAAGCCTCTCCCTATTGTACAAGCAAATTACAGGACAGAGAAAAAAAGTGGAGGAAATAAAGGCAGGTGTCCAAGGACACTGAGTGTCGCAGGGGGACAAGCAGAGAGCACTTCAGGCCAAGACACCAAAGACCAATGCTACCAATGGAAGCTAGGTACCTAGGTTCAACATTCCCAGAGAATTAATGGGAAGATGAACACTGACCTTGAAGTCCACCACAGATGCTTCCCACATCAGTACTCCAAAGCCAGGTACAAGAAGGTCTCCTCACTGCGGGCACAAGAGATAGTGGACCCGCACAGCTCAGAGCACCAGAGGAAGATGCCAGCCACACAAATCATAGCTTTTCCCCAGCTTTTCTGTGGGCAGGGTAAGGGGATCCCATCAGCACCCTAGGCTCCATGGCAGCATGTTGCAAACAATTAACCTGGTAAGTAACTTAAAGAATTAACCTGGTGGTAAGAGGAAGGGCACCTGTCCCTCCCTTTCACCTTGCAGTACAGACGTTGGGTGGCACTGACCAAGGTATAGCAGCTTCAGTAGATGGAACACTGCTCAGGAAACACAGGGAAACAGAACAAGAAAAGGCCC